CGAAACATTGATTTTGTTTTTGTTAAATAGATAGGCTTATTGTTCTAGAAATAGCTTGTACATACTGTTGTGTAAAAGCAAAAAGTTGTGGTTGTAATGTTGTTATCTTCTACTGCGCTAAAGAAAGTCAGAAGTCGGTACTTTTTTTTCCTCTTTTCTCCCTTCCCACTATATCTCTTTTCTTTTCCCTCCCTCTTTTCTAAGTTTTCAATTACTTTTTTTTCCTTTGGAATTTATTCTTTGATAAACTGATAAAAACTCTGGAAAAAAAGAGAATTTGGCTGTGCTTTTACTTATCACCAGATAGGAATGTGTTACTTAAAAGTTTTCTTTTGTTTTACAGCCCCCTGTCTAAGCAAAGAAAAAACGTCATCAGCTGTGTAACTGTGCACGATTCGCCATATTCTGATTCCTCTGGCAACAGTCCATACGCAGTGCAACATCGTGGCGGAAACAATAATGGAAACAATTATGAGACAAAGGTTGCACCAGAGTCACACTGTAATGGCAATCCTCGGACGATCATTGTACCACCGCTGAAAACCCAGGCCAGCGAAGTCTTAGTAGAATGTGATAGCTTGGTACCAGGTAAGTTGGTTGCGTATCTTCAAGGAATAAAAACCCTTAAATTAAAGGTGAAAAGTGGTTGTGGTTAGTGTGTCATGCCTGGAGGGAAGAGAGAGTTAACACAGAGATAACGGTCTTGTTGCCAGCCAAAAGATCAAGTTGTAGAGTGGTAGCAAAATCAGGATGTATTTTGAAAACACACAAAAGGTGTTGGCCATTTTTGGCTCATCCCTGAGGCTCTTCAGAGACGCATGTAGCTTTGTAAATGCAGGTTTTACATTCTCCCCAGACTACTCACTCTTCATGGGTTAAATATGAATGAAACAAGGTGTAACTTGACCAGTGGTGGGTTGCAGGAGGTACGCCCCGGTAAGGGTATACCAGAGCCTGCCCAGAGCACTGGGTACCTTTCCGGTGCTCCGGAGTGCCCACCCACCCACCTGAGCTCCTTACCTGTCCTTTAACCCTTTGGAGTACATGCGCATGGCACGTATGGCACCTGCGCAATGCTCCGCCAGGCAGCTGGAGTGTTGCGGAGGCTTGCGGAAGCATCGCAGGCAAGTACGACGCATGTGCGTGTTGCACGCATCCATGTGGGTGACGCGGGGGCGGTTGGAACGGAATCTGGAACTCACCACTGAACTTGACCAAGAAGGAGTTTGGCATTCATTTGGGTGCCAGTTTGAAGTCTGAAAGCTGCTGAAGTTTACAGACCTGAATGCAATAATAAATTTATCTTCCTCCCACTTCTAGTCACTACCAGTCACCACTCATCTTCCTGTAAGTCAAAGTCCTCTAGCATTGTGACCTCGACCAGTGGTCACTCTTCAGGGAGCTCATCTGGAGCCATCGCCTACAGGCAGCAGCGGCCAGGACCACACTTCCAGCAGCAGCAGCCTCTTAATCTCAGCCAGGTAAGCCCAGGATAATGAGCCCACAAAACCTTGTAATAATCTCTAGCCATTACAATCCAGGCAAAGCAACTTAATTCCATAGAGATTAGTTTATTCAAAATTAGCTATGTTCATCTGATCTCAACCATGGATCGAAGGTTAGAAAGGAGAAAAGGGGATGGCGTAGGAAGGAAACTTTTCATTCAAGACAAATGAGCTGTGGGCTGGGTGGTGGTGGTGAATGTTACTGGTTTGCACCGGTTTGTGCGAACCGGTAGGGACGATTGTCGTTGGTTCTATGAACCAATAGTAAAAAAAACTTTCCAAGGATCGCGTGGCTCAGCTGTGAGCTGTGCGATCGTTGGAAGCTTTTTTCCCACCTTCTTTTTAAAGCATTTTTTTTTCTGCTGGTTCGGGCGAATAGGCAGGGAAAAAATGCTTCAAAAAGTTGGGGAGAAGGGAGGTTCCATGAGAATCAGCTGTGGCGTGCTATCATGGGAACCTTTTTTTCACTTTTTAAAGAATTTTTAACTATCTATTCGCCCAAACCGGTAGTTTAAAAATGCTTTAAAAAGTGAAAAAAAGAGGTTCCATGATCGCACGGTACAACTAAACTTCTTTTTCTTCCCCACTTCTTAAAGCACCCATTCCAAAAAAAAAAAAAATTACATTTCACCACTGATTGTGGGTCTCAATAACTGAGTTATTGAACATGCTAAGTCAAATAGTGATTTGTTCCTGGTTAGATCCCTTGCTTGTGGTTTGTAAACCATAACCTCTGTGTTCTTGGTTTGGATTATGCCAGAACAGTTAGGCAGAATGTGAATGCAAGTGACTACGTACATGCATTTTAGAGTCGGTGAATGTGAAAGAAAATCACATTGTTGTAGCTTAAACTACAGCAACAGAAACTAATTACAGAAAACTGGAATAAAGGTGTATTCGTCCATCCTTTATTCTATTTCTCTTCTTTTCCCTTTCTCGGCACTGGATAACAAAATTTTAAATTCCTGGCTCAAGGTCCTCTTTACTTGTTTAGCGAGTGCACTGTATCAATAATACAACAACAAAAAC